AATGTTGTAACTGGACAGCAGTCCGTGAGAGAGAGTGATGTGAATGAAAGTGTATGTATGAAAAATATTTTTACTGTCAACACATCAACTCAAACAAAAACCTTTCAGAGAATTTCTACACAAAATAAAAATTGACAAATCTCTCCCGATAATGTTTATTCGGAAGAACTGTTACCAATCCCTTCTAAACCAACTGACAAATTAGTGGTTGAGGAGTTCCATAATAGAACTGTCATTCCTGACTCTAATGTAGTTGATACGACAGATATTCTCTTGTCTGTCCTACAAGACTTACCTGCAACCAAACAAACCCTTTACACCTAATATTACCCAACAAATTTCAGAAACATCTACACAGAAAGCTGAAATTGATAATGTTCTCTCTGATGTGCCAGGCAGATGTACACACATTTACCAGCATCTACAATTAATAATCAACAAACCGGTCAAAATAAAACATACTTTATTATTTCTGATACTGCAATGTATACTGTTTGACATGTGCATGTTTATTAATGATGCCTTATAGATTATCTGATGTTCAAGGAATCAACATTTTGGATTTACAGAAAAACCCAAAAATTTGAAAGAATCTTAAAAAACTCCACCAACAATAAGGAGATCCGAAGCTTACTCGACCTCATCAATCATTACAACCAATTTACCTTGAACATTATCCAGGAAAATGTATTTTTCACTAAACCATTAAAAAGGGAGCATTCCAATACAATTGAGTTGAACCGAGAACTAGATCATACTTTCGCCAAAATCAAGACTCTTTTCTCCAGTTCCCCTATTTTAAATCTGTCTAATATCATATTACCATTTGTTCTCAGATATCATACCAGTGGTACGGCAGTTGCAGTTTGTCTGAGGCAGTGTGATGGCGAGATGTTACACCCAAACTGCTGTGTGAGCAGTAGGTTGTCTCCAGCCCAGGTACACTATGTACAGTGTCTTGCGGTGATTGTCTGTGTGACATGACTCAATCGTTACCTCCTGGGCAGACTTTTTGTCCTACAATCGGACAACCAGCCATTGCTCGTCACTAAGTCTGGTGCGCCGAAGAACAATAGAATCACCAGATGGGCACTGCTACTGCAAGATTTCCAATTCACAATCACTTACAACAAGGGCAACAGCAACAACCCGGCTGACCTATTAAGCCGGCTGTAAAACTATTGATTGCCTAGTGGTATCCTGAAATTGACAGTCTGGTACCTTCAGAAATTTAAAGACTGTGTGAAACATTGTCTTCATATATTCATGCCTTCTTGAATGACTAGAAACTGTCTCATAACGGAATTCTACACCAAGTTTCATAGATCCAGTTGTCAAGTAGCAGTGTATACAAGTACTGTTCTAGCCTAAAACCAGTGAACTGAACAATCGTAAAAGATTACTCAACAGGAAGATAGAGGTGATGATCATTCTAAGGACTTCAGCAGAATGGAAAATGTGATGTATGAAAGAAGAGTGTAATTGGAATAAAAGGGAATGAATGTATAGAATAGAAGTCTATGTTGTGATTGTCATATTATAAGTTAATCTTATTATGTTCATCTTTAATATAATATATGTTGTATGGATTATATATGTTTTATATGTTCTGTATGTGCTATATGTTTTATATGTTTGTTTCATGTATATTATTTGGTTTTGAATTGATAAGTTTATTCATTCAATTTCGTTTGCACAAATTTTATTTGTGTACATTTATTTTTATTTGTAACTTTTGTGTTGATATCTATGATTAGCTTATTTATTTTGATTTGTAATTATTGTGTTGGTATCTATGATAAGTAATCTATCTAAATTTATTTTTCTTATTTATTTTGTAATTATTGTGTTGGTATCTATGATGAGTAATTTATCTGTATTTATTTTTCTTATTTATTTTGATTTGTAACTATTGAGATGGTATTTATAAAAGGGAAATAATTTTGAGTTTGAAAATTATTTCATGTATATTTTGCTTATTTATTTTGATTTGTAATTTTTATTGTTTTGTTGGAATGAATATAGTGTAATGACTTTTGTTTGTGAAATTATTATGTATGTATTTTGCTTATTTATTTTCAGTGTAAAATTATTTGTGGGACAATCCATTTGGATTTTACAAATATATTTTCTTTTCTTTTCTTTGCTAAAGATTTTTGGCTAGATCACATAAGTAATGTTAATTGTTTGATTTGCAATCATTTTTGTTTTATAATTTTCGAATTGCAATAATAATATTCTTCAGTTTTTGAAACTTAATCTGAAATCCATTACTTTTATTAAAAGTTTCAATGAGTTTAATATTAACTGAGTGTCTTATGTGCACTAAATGTAAATGTTAAAGTATATGTTAGACAATAATGCATTATAGGTAGATAACTTTGTAAACTAGTAGACTTTAAAATAACTGACAATTTAGTTTGGCAGTAAAATGAACTTATTTTTATTTTTTTTTTTCCCTCTTTAAATTGTTTATTTTGCTTTCCAAAATTGATGATTGGACAGTTTAAATGAAATTTAGATTGTACTTTTACAAGGGCACTCACATGGAGAGTTAATGATGTTGTAACTAATAATGCATATATGGAGATTACATTTGAGGAGTAGCACTATCCTTGGAGGATGGGAGTGTGTCCAACTGGCCACAGATTTGTTTACTGCCTATTTTGCACTGTGGGTCATATGGGGTGATTTGTGTCTTGGCAGGTACTGCGGATTCGCGGACACATTATACGACTGTAGGTCGGGGAGTCAGGTCATGACTCCTTTTCATAACCATGGACAAGCCTTGTGGAGATAGTCCATGACGCCCACTGTTATAAATCACGGTGTCGTTGGTTAAACGGCTTGGGAGTGTATACAGTGGCGTCTTACTTGCACAGTAAGTGAAGTAAGGTGTAATTGGGTCCCGGACGATTTGGGTGTCCACCCAAATTATTATTTATATCATTACCCATATGATTTGAAGGTGTAATGAGTAGTGACGTATTTGTGTCAAGGGCTGATACCATTTCTACCCATTAGGGAGGAGCTTACCCATTGAATGTATATACCCATTAAATATGTGCCAGATAGTTTGTCCTTAGGTGATTGACCCAAAAGTACATGACATATTTTTTTTTTAGGTAACTAAATATTGACGATAAAATTTAAAAACATGACTGTACATGATGGCAGGCCATGCTTTGCTGATACTTGACTTTGTCAGGAAGTATCAGTTCAGAGGAAGGGTGAATGTCACAACCCTATTAAGTACAGTCAGTGTACCACACCGTAAGGTGTGCACCCAGGGTTGACACAGAGGTCAGGGCCGTCACTGGTCGAGTCCGTTCTGTGATCGCACGGCGAAACCAGCGCTCAGGATAAAGCAAGAAAGCTTGAACTGTGTTTTAGTAACACGATGACTGCTTCTGGGACTGAGCTGGGGAACGGGGTTAAGAGACACGAGGTAGAAGGAAGAAGGGACATTCGGTGTGCGTCGGTCAGGAAGAGAGGACGTTTAGTGACTGGATAGTTTATGTTATAGTATTAAAGTTAGGATATAGGATAAAGTTAGGATTATTTCTGTTAGTGACTGGATAGTTTATGTACAGTTTTGTGTTAGGATAGGATAGTTCTTGTGTAGAGTATTTATGTATATGTGCTGTGAGAGAGTGGCTAACCTGGACACTCTGACCCTGCACTAAGACAGAGACTGTGACAGTTTGATTGGGTCAGCGTGGCGATAGAAGAGAGCGTATCCTGCCGGATTGTGGTTTGTACACCAGAGTATTGCCTGTCGCACGTACTGGGGACGGGGCGATTGTAAAGCCCGTCCAGCCAGAGGGTCCAGGCAATAGGTGGCCACACGGCGGGAAGTCAACTGTCTATGTATTACCTGTACTTCCAATAAAGATTGTCGTGTGTGCTCTGTGTGCGTTCGGGTTCAGTGTGTGTTGTAGGTTAGTCTGTCTGTCATAGGCCTAGTTAGCGAGCCACGGACCGGCAAGGTCAACATTAGCGTTCCGAACCATTTCACGATCCAGACAGGACATTATTATTTAGGAGATAAAACAAAATCAACAAATACATGGCCGACGGCCATCCATTTGATGATACCAAACAAGACATCTATGTGCTTGAAATCTAGGCGTTTGAAATCTAAGTGCTTGAAATATAAGTGTTTTGGGATCCGTGAGTCTGTAGCTATATCCTTAGATTAGTAAAGTTTAAAATAAAAGTGTTTGAGATCATAGTGTTTAAAATGCAAGTAATTAAAATATAACTTTTTGGAATGAGTTTGATATTATGGTGTTTAAAATGTAAGTAATTGAAATATAACTGTTTGGAATCAAACTGTTTGATATTATAATGTTTAACATGTAAGCAATTGAAATATAACTGTTTCTAGGTGTTTTAAATTCAAATATTTCAGATCTAAGTATTTTTGATCTAACATCATATCAACATCATATATCAACATGATATCAAACAAACTGTGGGAACAACAACATGCAGCAAAGTCTTCGAGAAACATTTAGTGAGAATGCAGCAAAAACAGCTACAGATGCAGGCGCTACACATGAACAGATCTGAAGTGAAAGCAAGAAGCCGTCCTATGAGAACATGGATGTATGACATGGAGAAGCTTATGCATCGACACCTAATGATAATAACCATTACTGCCCATCAAGCAATGGAACGCAAACTGTTCCTCCACACAGCACTTAACAAGAAAAGTGGCAATTTGTAATGATTATGATGATTAACATTTGTTTATCGTAATCCTACAGGCTGGATTTACTTATGTGTTCTGTTTTTTCGTAAATAGGGGGTGACTGCAGTCGAGCTGATTGTGTTTTTGTGATTTTGTGTTGTATTTAGTGATCCGTTGATAAAGACTTCAGTCGAAACGTTCGGCTGTGTTTGTGTGCGTCTTTTACGTTCTCTCCTTAAGCGTTCTAGGCACATTCTGTCTAATATTTAGCATGCCCCCCCCCCCCCTCTCCCGTTTTCTTAAGTTCCAGTTTTTTCATAGGAGAGACCGTGGCGTTGTTGATAACAGTGAGAGATAGAGAAGGAAATCCTAAAACCAAGGGCGGGGACGATGTTCGGGCGTGGTTTACTGATGTCTCATCCTCCAACTCCACGCTTCCGGCCAAGATCACAGACTACGGCAATGGGACATACTTAGCTAGAGCTGTGTTAGCTTTTGTTGGGACTTTTAGGTAACCACACTATCTGTGTCTCCTTGTTGTGTGTGTATGTGTATGTGTGTGTGTGTGTGTGTGTGTGTGGGGGGGGGGGGGGAGTCGCCGTGGCAAAGCGACTAGACGCGCGCCGCGGATCGGAAGGTCGTGGGTTCGCTCCCTGGCGGAGCCGGAATTTTCTTCAGAAATGACCTTAGCTTCCAGGTCAACCCAGCCCTAAGTGGGTACCGAGTGCAGTCCCGGGAAGTAGAGGCGGCCGGAGTGATGTTGACCACATCACCCATCTTGTGCCGTTGGTCTATAAAATATAGGTCAAGCCCTATATGCCCTATACGCCCAAAGGCATGGAAAAAGGTCCTTTACTTTTTTTTTTACTTTATGTGTGTGTGTGTGAACGTGCACAAGTAGTTGACTACATAACTTTCTACCTGTTTCATGTAAAACATATATTGGCGTATATACATAAACATAAAGGCTCATTAATGTCACCATGTTTGTAGATGGTTCGATAGTGATGATTTATAAAAAAAAGTGTATAGTTACTTTGCAGTCAACTTTTCAATGAGTCAGGCAATTTTAAAGGTTGATGGAAAGATGTCTTTGTCAATATATTGATTGTATATGAAGGTTAACGACTCACAGATCAATTGTGGAGCACAGTAACATATCTTATTTTCCTTCAGCCTAAACCAGATGCGTAGTGTTCCTTAGGTTCAACAGGTGACAAGACATCTATAGTATGTTTCAGAAGTCCTACCCTTAAATTTTAATAACTATCTCAAACATTCCTGTACGGATCAAAACCAGTTTTTGCATGTGGCCTTAGATTTGCTAAATCCTTAAGAGTTTTTAATTTACAATTGCATAGGTGCTGCTATTTTCTTGATGCGGTAAATTTCTCTGATCTTTGACTGAATAATAATTTGTGAACCTGTAAAAGGAAATATATTATACAACTGTCACACGCTTGGAGATTTTTTGAAAGCAGTTCACATTTGCAGCCTTGCAAAGGTGATTTTTTTGGTAGCCTATCCTGCATACAATGAAAAATGTGTTATTCTAACCCACAGGAGGCTAATGCTTGAGATGACCGTCTAAGAGGGAAACACCTATAAACACGTGCAATTTAACGCTTTTAAAAATTCGCGTTACTCAGTTAACTGTAAGAAAACAGACTGCTTGCTTTAAATCGGTGTCTGCCCCCCCCCCCCCCACCCCCCACCCCCTTTAAAACACAACGCAAATAATTCAAGATGAAAATTAGACGTTTGTTAAAAATTCTTTTAACTACATGGTTATAAACAGGTTGCATGGGAAATTAAAGAACTGACCGCCATCACTTGTTGACTAACGACAACAACATAGTTCCCGAGATTGGTTAGATACATAAAGATTTGAGTAACTGATTGTTTGTTTGTTTTAGTATCCAGAAGCTATTAGTTGTTAACCCTTAGGCTCGGTATTATGGATATCGCAACCTTTCGGCCTTGATTCCATTTTAAATACCTAGATATGCTGAGATACATGTGAGATATGCTAATAATACGGGTGAGATATGCTGATGATACAGGTGAGATATGCTAATGATACAGGGGAGACATGCTGATGATACATGTGAGATATACTGATGATACATGTGAGATATGCTGATGATACATGTTAGATATGCTGATGATACATGTGAGATATGCTGATGATACATGTGAGATATGCTGATGATACAGGTGAGATATGCTAATAATACGGGTGAGATATGCTAATAATACGGGTGAGATATGCTAATGATACAGGGGAGACATGCTGATGATACAGTGAGATATACTGATGATACAGAGAGATATACTAATAGTACAGAGGCGATATGTTGATGATGCAGGTGAGATGCTGATGATAATACTTGTGAGATATGCTGATGATGATACTTGTGAGATACGCTGATGATGATACGGGTAAGATATGCTGATGATGATACAGGTGAGATATGCTGATGATGATACAGGTGAGATATGCTGATGATGATACTTGTGAGATATGCTGATGATGATACTTGTGAGATATGCTGATGATGATACAGGTGAGATATGCTGATGATAATACAGGTGAGATATGCTGATGATAATACAGGTGAGATATGCTGATGATAATACAGGTGAGATATGCTGATGATAATACAGGTGAGATATGCTGATGATAATACAGGTGAGATATGCTGATGATAATACAGGTGAGATATGCTGATGATAATACAGGTGAGATATGCTGATGATACAGTGAGATATGCTGATAATGCAGGTTGCTAGCAAAAAATGACAAGGAGTTACATAGCTGAGAGGATAAAGTGAACAAACATATTGCTGAGTATGGCTTAAACATTAATATTCAAACATTATTAACTATGATATAAACTTTTGGAGTGAGGTGGTCAATCGTCGAAAAATAAATTTAAAAAAAAAAAAAAAAAAAGATAACACAAGTTTACAGCTGAAAAGAATGTCTATAAAATGTGTACAACTGAATCGAAGGATGGCACGAAGTGGATCTCAGTTGTGGTTACCATTTATTATGAAGAGGTCGCTTGGAGGGTGGATGACACCTCCACTTGGTTTTATTTCTCCTCAGGGCTTGTGCAATACTGGCCTACAGCAGAGAATATTTACAGACAGTGCTTACAAACCATCTTATGGTCAAATCTACTCTCATCTTCCTTGGAGTATTCAGCAACTCGCTAGTAAGTCTGCAGATATTTTACGAATATTATAATTAGAAACGAAACATTTTGCAGAACACTGCTGTTATCAACGTCCGCCTAATAGGCTGGATGTTTCCGTCAGTTGCCATACATTTGTTTTTTCAACAGCTGTGTCTTTAATGCTACATGTTTGTCAGTTTGTTGTGTTCAGCTGAAGAACTACCGACAAAAGTGACTCAGTTTACAAAAATGACTCTCTAATATATATATATATATATATATATATATATATATATATATATATATATATATATATATATATATATATTATTATATAATTATACATAATCATTATTATGTAATTTGGTCGTCATATTATCCTCATTGCACATTCAGCCCATAAGTGCTCATATCCCCTCTTCAGTAAATCCCACAGCGTGTAGCGGCTGGCGACACCCGTTCTGTGTTGTTCCTTATCTTCTTTAGCCCCTGGTATATTGCTCTTGTCTGGCCACACACATTTTAACATTTTGTTCATGCAGTCTGGTCATGGTTGCAGATTCGAAGTGATCACTTAGTTCTAGCAAACGTGTTACTTTTGACTTTTTATTTATAGTATTCACAATATCAGCCCCATCCACGGCTCGCCCGCCCTTCATATTAGCTTTATCTGCAGGCCTATCAGCATACTCATTGCCTTGAACACGTGCATATTCTGGCACGAATTTGAAATTGATATCAGCCACCACTGCTTCAGAGACTCCAACCACTGTCTTCGGACCCGGCCCAACTTGGTCTTCCTGAGCATACTCCATATATGCTCTATCTTTACTGTCTGTATTACAAGATTTTAGAGCCACGTAAGACATGGAGTCTGGAGCCAGAAGTTTTAGGCTGTGTGGGTTAGGATGGGTTTTTTACTCGAGTCATTCCCCCTCTTCCCCCCCCCCTAATACTTCTAAACATATAAAATATAGTAGTATAAAAACGCAATTTGATAACATGTCTGAGGAAATGGAGTGGTAATGTTAACTGAGTCCACCGGTTAAGAGATGGCTGCTTCCGGATACGTAAGTTAAGTGATTTTATGTATTCGTGTGGTTTTGTTTGATTTGTGTACGTACTGATGAAGGCTTTGTAGCCGCAACGGTCACGTTTCGTTTGTGTGTTATATTGTGGAGCTCGCTGGTCTACTTTTCGTTCGGTTTTAGATTATTTTTCTCTGAGGAAAATAAGGAACATTAAATCGGATGATGTCAAGAAATGTGTGGAAATAAGACACTTTTCTGGACAATTACTGGCCTCCAGTTATAAGACAAAAAAGGTGGGGCTACATTGGGTACATGCTGAGAAGAAGTGAGCATACAATCATCGAACAGGCACTGTACTCAAGAACTAATGGACTGAGGAAATAAAAATATCCAAGAGACTCTAAAACGAACGTTATTTGGAGAAATCAAAACAGTTAAATTCATTGAGAAATACAAATTGAAATGTGTCGACCACCTAGTGTGAGTTTAGTTGAGTCAAGGAATGACATGACAGCACTCGGGGCATTCCCATGCATCCTCCGTCCTCATCTTCAGCAGCCAGCGCAGAGTTCCAATACTCATGGTACCGGTCACAATCTAGTTAAATGTCTGTCTTGCCTTTCCTCTGAGTGTAGTCAGCCGGCCTAACCCTCTAGTTACATCCAGGTGCCTTGTTCTCTCCAGGCCATAATAATCTTCTTCCTCTGCTGATTACGTTGCTTGTTCCCAGAGGGACTTGACCACATCTACCTAGTGTAAATGAATCAAACTGTGCCAGCAGCAAGAGCTGTTTCTGTGTGTAAGCAGGCGAAACAACCGTAGGCTGCTATGTGCCTGTTATCCAAGGAGTGAACCCATCTGAGATCTGTAATCTGACTGAAATCAACGATACCCCCTGGTTCTGTGGCTGCCCGGTCAAATCTTTACTTTACTGTGACCATTGAGCTGTCGACGAAGTCTTGAGTGGGTACCAGGTAAACTCCTTGAAAGTAAAGGCGGCCGGCATGTTGCTGAACACATCATGCACCGGAGGCCGATTGGTCTTTGAAATATAGGTGTACCCCTTTAAGCCAAATACACCTAAAGGAGCGGAAGAGAGTCCTTTACTTATGAGATTGTTCCCATGCTCGTTTGTGTTGACTGGTCCTTTACTTATCTTCACTTATGAGACTGTTCCCATACTCGTTTGTGTTGATTGGTCCTTTACTTATCTTTACTTATGAGATTGTTACCATGCTCGTTTGCGTTGATTGGTCCTTTTCTTATCTTTACTTATGAGACTGTTACCATGATCGTTTATGTTGATTGGTCCTTTTCTTATCTTTATTTATGAGACAGTTACCATGCTCGTTTATGTTGATTGGTCCTTTTCTTATCTTTACTTATGAGACTGTTACCATGCTCGTTTATGTTGATTGGTCCTTTTCTTATCTTTACTTATGAGACTGTTAGCGTGCTCGTTTGTGTTGAGCTGCATTTTCAGAAATGGTTACTGGCCTGTTGTCACAAACGCATGTGTTATTACGTAAAAACAAAAACTACTAAAGAGTGACTTTTTACCCTACTAGGACATCACACCTAGCAATAAACACCTGGTAACACAAAGTGCCACCATTCGGATAAAATTCACCCGTGTAAAGTTTCCAGAAAGCCGGTTCAACCGTTAGGTTATATGAGGGCACTAGGCAACAGCCAGAGTGGGGCTTTAAAACAAAGAAAAAAATGTGTTTAACATGAGAACATGGATTCATATATAACTGCAGATTTATTGTACCTGCAATTCTAATGGCGGGCTGTTTATCTGATGCATTTATATGATGTTGGCTTTACTATGACTGTATCCTCTTTCATCTTTAGAATCCTAAACGACAGTGATGTGCATTCTCTGTGGGTTTGACTGTTACTGGAACAGATCAGTTAAGGGCCGACCCGATTATCTAAATTTGGAACAGCTAATAACTAACCACCGATCAAAAGAAGAAAGTAAAAAATAAATAAATAACTAAACAGTTACTTTCATTTTGCAGTAGTAAATTGTCTATATACAATCATTAAAGTGCCTATATCTATGGAAACAGACACGTATACGTACATTCCATTTATAAATCTATATAAATGATCCCCCCCCCCCCCCCTATTTGTCGTAAGTAAAGTAAAGATTCCCTTTTACGCCTTGGGCGCATCTGGCAATGAAGAGCACCTATATTTTTACAGACCATCGGCACTAGGTGGGTAATGTGGTCAGCATTACGCCAGCCTTCTATATTTGTCGTGTATTTGACTATATGTGACAGCAAACGCTACATAAATAACACCCTTTTTCATGAAATTGTGGCAAAAGACATATGGTGTTAGAGCGAGACTGTATTATACCAATGGGAACTAGATGTGTGAAATTCACTTATCACCACAGCCGACTTTTCTCGGCCTCCCTCCCCCCCCCCCCCACACACACACACACGTTAATAATAATTATCTGGTACACATTTTTAGCAGAAATGACAATTATTATAATCCACTTTAAATTCGACCGCAAGACTTTAGGTAAAACTCTGGCAATGGTTTAATTCAGCTGTCATTTGTTTATGATTAAGGTGCATTTGAAAGTAAGGTGCATTTGAAAAGTCGTGCCCTCACATTTTAACAAATGTCTCGAAAACGTATGTACGGATCAACATTATTTTCTGCAAGTGGCCTTAAATTTGTCAAATCATTATAGATTTTGTAATTTAAAATTGCTGTTTTCTCAAAGTCTCGAATGTATGTGATCTTTGTTTGACTAACAGTTTGTGCACCCCTGAAAATATAATATCTATTAAAGAAAAAACGCAGGTGGAAATCAATTTGCAAATCAGGATCGTATCTGAAGCTATGCTTGGTGATTATTTTGATGGCCTTTCCTGCATACGGTTAAAAAAGTGAACATCTAACTCACGGGAGGCTGATGCTTGAGATGACCACGTAAGAGTCAAACGCACAGGAAACGCATACAATTTGACTGTTGTGAAAAGTTACCGTTACTCAGTTTATGTAAGCTTTGAACATTTTTTATTTTTATTTTTAATTTTGAAATTTTTTTAAAAGTATCATAAATAAAGCGAAATGAAAATTAGATGATTATTTAAATTTTTCAACTCAATGTATTCTGTATTAATACCGCATAATAATAAAAATGTTACATGCCAGATTTGATCAGCTTACAAAAAAGAGTTACTGAATTACATATTTTTAAAGTTGGGCAAGATTTCTGGAAGGGACTATATAATCCCAGCTCCAATAATCAGTTTTGATTTGTTGCTTTGTGTAGGCAAACGAAACAAGCGTCTGTTGCCACGTGCCCGTTATCCCAGGAGTGAACCAGTCCGAGATCTGTAATCTGACTGAGGTCAACGGCACCCCTTGGTTCTGCGGCCACCCGGTCAAACCTTGGCTGAAGTGCACTGATTATATTCGAACGCGAAAGCTGAAGACCCCATTGACTATGCCAATGAATAACGCTGAGAAATTGCTGTTTTCAATGGACATCAAGTAGGTGTTTGTAAATGATGATAGTGCTGATGGTGAGTTAAGGTTTCCCCCTCCTATCTGTTTATTAAAGTGTATCTACATCCTGTCTTTCTTTTTGAAGTCAGTCATATTCCCAACACATAACAGAGATAAGGAACTAACCCTTTCACTAGAATACACAATGCAAGTGATAAAGAAAATACTGTTAATCGAATAACGCATTCAAATAAAGCAATTTCCCCTTTATTGGCTCTTGACTGACTTGCAGAATCTTTGATCAGTTGTCTGTGTAGACATGTTCACATTTGCCCTACTAATCTGCTGAAAGCCATCTTTTCACTTTACCAATTTAATTTACTGTGAACTGCGTTTAAATTGCCATATAATTAGAAACATAAGGCAAAATATTGTTTGTGACATTAAAACTGAAATTTTGACGGGAAAAATATCAACTTTGACGAGAACAGCATAGACACCATTGTAGCACTTTATAAAGATGAAAAGTGCAGTACTCATTCAAAGTGACGTAGGCAAATCTTTCAATACCAGTGTGGGAGTGAGGCAAGGCTACATAATGTCCGCTGTCCTTTTCAATTCGCTCACGGAACACATTATGAGAGAAACAGTAGACAATCATGAAACATCTATATCCATTGGCTGAAGACAACTATGTCATTTACATTTTGCAGACGACATTGATTTCATAGGTGGTTTCGAAATAGAACTCCAAGAACTTACTGAAAAAAGTAGAGACCGTCAGAGGTAAATAAAGCCTGGAAATTAATGCTGAGAAAAGAAAATTTCTGGTAAATAGTCACAACAATCAAGTGCCTACCATCATACAAATAAAAGCTGGAAAAAAGTTGACACCTTCAAATATCTTGGCTCCTACATATGTAACGATGATAGCTATACAAAAGAGAAAACGGCGAGATGTGATATGGCAAAAGCCGCGATGTCCGATCCGAGCTGAATAAGATGGGAAATGAGCCTCTCAGATAAGGTTAATATATACACATCACTTGTATTGTCTATTTTTTTGTATGGACACGAGAGCTGGACTCTCACTGTGAAAATGTAAAGGAAGATTCAGGCTTTAGAATGTAAATTCCATAGGAGTATTTTACGAATTAGATATTTAGAACACAAAACTAATAAACTAAACAGATTTGAAGGACACCAGGAGCCTCTCTTGGCAGTTTTGAAACGTAGCCAGCAAGTAGTTCGGGCACTTGGTGAGACATGATTAGATTGCAAAGACTACTTCGATGAATTTTGGATCGTAGACAAAGAAGAGGGGAAAAAAAAGGGGGGGGGGCAAGGGGGGGGGGGACATGTAATTATAACATCAGGAAATAGGACTAAGTTATCATACACTTATTCAACAAGCAAAAGACAGAGACAGATGGCTGGTTTTATGTGCTAGTGCTTCCATCGATACACCCCCACGACACTAACGGGCCAAGGATTATATTATGTATGTTGTTATTCTCAGTAACACTGCGCGCAAGCTAAGTTGTTTAAACTAGCTGCACTGCGACCGGATGACAGACTCCTTGTGGTCCAAGTTCACGCTCAGGGGTATGCAGAAAATCCACACATTTATCAGATTTACGGTATCTATCAAAGAAACAAGGCCAAAGGGTTGCGATATCCGTAGACCTAGTTAAATGCTTTACAACTCATAGTTTTTAGATTTAAAAAAAAACAGTAACAAACAAGGTGAATTTTACGCTGGTCTCCCCATTACGCAGCGTTTGACCCTTCATTCATGATTCCGAGGACTCGTCTACATCAGGGGTTGTCACTATTTTTAAATTCGTGAGACACGGTTAAATAGCATAACAGGGCCTCAGTCATTTGTAAATTGCGGACCTCTTTCCGGCGACTATTCCGCAACCGCCAAGAGTTTCTCCCGCGCCACTACGCACGGCGCGGGGTGGGGCTAAACTGAATGGCTGGAACTTACGAGCAAAACAAAATAAAGGAAGCTGCAGGAGATGCGTTAGCTGCTGCTCGTGAGTCCCAGCTATTAAGTTTAGCCCCCTTCCACGCGGGAAAAACTCTCGGTGGCGACTTTAATTCGGTGGAAGCTTTTCCGCGGCATGCGGTATAGTCGCCTGACAGAGGTCTGCAATTTACTTATGAATGAGGCCCTGTTAAGGTATTCAACCTTGTCTCACAAAGTTAAAAATTGTGACACCCCCCTGATGTAGAGGCGTCCTCAGAAGTAAGAACGAAGGGGCAAAGGCTGCGTGATGGGATGAGTACTGTGATTTCTTGGGTTGATGGTAAAACCGCCTGCGTATCAAAACTGAACTATCTAGAGACGGGTGTTGTGTAAACAGTTCATACAAGTTAGGTTCTGAACAATCGAGTAACGCCATACTGTAATGCGGAAATCGTACTCTTACAATATTGCGTATCACATAGATCTTTTATCATTTTGCGAAATACATTTTAGTTACAGTTCTTGAGTGTTTAGCGAACTCAACGTTTTGGTGAGAAACCCATAATTGTTTTACTATTGGAGTGTTTAGTGAACTGAACGTTCTGTTAAGAAACCCATAATTGTTATACTACTGGAGTGTTTAGTGAACTCAACGTTCTGTTGAGAAACCCATATTGTTTTACAACTAGAGTGTTTAGTGAACTCGACGTTCTGTTGAGAAACCCATAATTGTTATACTACTGGAGTGTTTAGTGAACTCGACGTTCTGTTGAGAAACCCACAATAGTTATACTACTGGAGTGTTTAGTGAACGACGTTCTGGTGAGTAACCAATAATTGTTTTACTACTGGAGTGTTTAGTGAACTCAACGTTCTGTTGAGAAACACATAATTGTTATATTACTGGAGTGTTTAGTCAACTCGACGTTCTGGTCAGAAACCAACAATTATTACACCAATGAAGCGTTAGGAGAACTCAGTCAACGTTCTAGTGAGAAACTCACAATTTTTATACTACTGGAGCGTTAGGTAAACTCGACATTCTGTTGAGAAACTCACAATTTTTATACTACTGGGGCGTTTGAGGAACTCGAAGTTCTGGTGAGAAACCAGTAATGGTTATACTACTGGAGCGATTAGTGAAATCAACGTTCTAGTGAGAAACCCATATTTGTTATATTTCTGGAGTGTTTAGCTATGCCTGTCTGGAGATGTCATAGATGCTCATTTAATTATGGACACAAAACCAGTGCACCCATGGATTTGCCCAGATTGCTGATCACATTAACCATGAAGTTATATTATTGATTGTAAACTAGAAGTGAGTGATTTTTTTTGACAATGAGGTTTAAGTAACAGACACCCAATACAAACAGTATATTTTCTTACTTTTCTAGAAAGTTCACCATTCCTGCAGCTTCAGACATAACGTTAAATGTATCAGTTGGTAAATATATTTTATTTATAACATAACATTACATGTATCAGTCGATGAGTGTTTTCTTTACACCATAACATCTATCTATCTATCTATCTATCTATCTATCTATCTATCTATCTATCTATCTATCTATCTATCTATCTATCTATCTATCTATCTATCTATCTATCTATCTATCTATCTATCTATCTATCTATCTATCTATCTATCTATCTATCTATCTATCTATCTATCTATCTATCTATCTATCTATCTATCTATCTATCTATCTATCTATCTATCTATCTATCTATCTATCTATCTATCTATCTATCTATCTATCTATCTATCTATCTATCTATCTATCTATCTATCTATCTATCTATCTATCTATCTATCTATCTATCTATCTATCTATCTATCTATCTATCTATCTATCTATCTATCTATCTATCTATCTATCTATCTATCTATCTATCTATCTATCTATCTATCTATCTATCTATCTATCTATCTATCTATCTATCTATCTATCTATCTATCTATCTATCTATCTATCTATCTATCTATCTATCTATCTATCTATCTATCTATCTATCTATCTATCTATCTATCTATCTATCTATCTATCTATCTATCTATCTATCTATCTATCTATCTATCTATCTATCTATCTATCTATCTATCTATCTATCTATCTATCTATCTATCTATCTATCTATCTATCTATCTATCTATCTATCTATCTATCTATCTATCTATCTATCTATCTATCTATCTATCTATCTATCTATCTATCTATCTATCTATCTATCTATCTATCTATCTATCTATCTATCTATCTATCTATCTATCTATCTATCTATCTATCTATCTATCTATCTATCTATCTATCTATCTATCTATCTATCTATCTATCTATCTATCTATCTATCTATCTATCTATCTATCTATCTATCTATCTATCTATCTATCTATCTATCTATCTATCTATCTATCTATCTATCTATCTATCTATCTATCTATCTATCTATCTATCTATCTATCTATCTATCTATCTATCTATCTATCTATCTATCTATCTATCTATCTATCTATCTATCTATCTATCTATCTATCTATCTATCTATCTATCTATCTATCTATCTATCTATCTATCTATCTATCTGTCTATCTATCTATCTATCTATCTATCTATCTATCTATCTATCTATCTATCTATCTATCTATCTATCTATCTATCTATCTATCTATCTATCTATCTATCTATCTATCTATCTATCCGTCCTATCCGTCTATCCATCTATCTATCTATCTATCTATCTATCTATCTATCTATCTATCTATCTATCTATCTATCTATCTATCTATCTATTGTGTTTGAAAGAGTCTATCTATCTATCTTATCTATCTATCTATCTATCTATCTAATCTATCTGGTCTATCTATCTATCTATCTAGCGCCTATCTATCTATCTATCTATCTATCTATCTATCTATCTTCTATCTATCTATCTATCTATCTATCTATCTATCTATCTATCTATCTATCTATCTATCCGATCGCTATTTGAATGTCTATCTATCTATCTTGGTTCAACACTATCTTTATCTATCCATCCATCTATCTATCCATCTATCTATCTATCTATCTCTCCGTCTCTCTGTCTCTCTTAGTCTCTCCCCACTCTCTCTATTTGTTTGAAAGAGTCAAATGTAAGACAGCGTTTGTTAAACATTTTATCAAAGATAGGCAAGAGTGTTAGGAAATGAAGAGACAGGTAGACTGGCTGGTTCTGCACCAGGGCTGAGGAATTTGAGCATGACAGGCTAGCGCCTTTTTTTAAGCGTGTGAACAATGCAGCGGCATTGGAGAGGATTGTACAGCTAGCAGTGAACAGTGGGGTTTGATCGTCACTCTACACACTGGTGAAAGGCAAGACGGACATATAATCAAACTGCTACTAGAACCATCGGAACTGGAGCTTCTGAAGATGATGCCGAAGCGCTTATTTGAATGTCTCGAGTGCTGTAATATCAACTCTTGGTTCAAATGCACTAAAACGCTGCTTTAGGTTGATATCGTATATAGCAACGGGTTGCTAACATATATATATATAAAAGCATATGCATATATACTATATATATATATATATATATATATATATGAACAAAGAAGCCACAAACCAATAGACTGCACAATTTATTGCCTGGTGAAACATATTGTCGCTGTATCGAATCGTCAGTTTTTAGGATTCAGCATACTACAGTAACAAGTGAATAAAAGTATGCACCTGACGAGATACAGCGAAATATGCCAGGCAATAAATTGCGCAGTCTATTGTTTGTGTCTTCTTTGTTCAAATTCACATCGGGGAAACATTGCTTTGATATATATATATATACAAATATGAGAGCAAATGGATCAGTCTTTTTACAAACATAGTATTGAATACATGTGGGCAGATTATTCCACCATGTATGTATCACTCATGGCTCTGGTAATGCAGTCTAACGTATTGAATACATGTGGGCAGATTATTCCACCGTGTATGTATCATTCATGGCTCTGGTAATGCAGTCTAACGTATTGAATACATGTGGGCAGATTATTCCACCGTGTATGTATCATTCATGGCTCTGGTAATACAGTCTAACGTATTGAAACCTTTGTGATTCAGAAAGCCATTGGTCGGTTTTTAATTCATATAAAACAGATCCTAAATATTATGTTTAACCGTATACACCAGCTCATTTAAAGTTTCAACGTAATTTGCAGTTTGATATTGGTGTGCCATATATGTCTGTCCGTCCATCTTTCTGTCAGCCCGTCTCTCTGTCCGTCTATCTCTCTGTCAGCCCGTCTGTCTGTCCATCTGTCTATAAAGTAATAATCTGTTTATCCATTCACAAATCTAATTCTTCAGTTATAGAAATATAAATGTGTCCCTGTTTGACAAGAATGTCAAGGTCGTTTTGCGAACAATCATAAATTGATTGACCGAAAAGATTACTATGTTCTGGGATCATATAGAAGAGTTCTTTACTAAGGACATCAAGATTTTGATAAATAGATGGAGTATTTGCAGAACAATGAAGACGGGTTATTTAGTCGTTACGGTTCCGGCATCACAGCAAATGAGCTTATCCCATAATTGCTCAACCGCCTATGCCGGTAATTCCAGTCACAAACTGAGTTAGATACGCTGAATACTTCAAGTGAATACCGTAGACATACAAAGTGTCCTCAGTCAGCAAAACACACACGATTTGATCTGGCAAACCATAAGGTGCATGCCTCCTTAAAAACACTGCAAGACCAGGTGTCATCGATGAAAATCAACTCCATTCGACGAATAGCTGGGCGATGAGTAGATTAAAACTATTCCTGACCATTCTCCACATGTCCTCGGCCAAGTTGCAACCACAGTCAGCAAATAAATAGCAGCTATTGCACACGCCTTGTCCCAGGAACACAACAAAGAAATGAAGACGGGTACAGATCATCCCGTCGAAATCTATCTTGACATCGGTGTACTGTTTCTCTTCTATTTCTTAATTAACCTGTTTTGTTTATTAACAAAATTTTTATCATTCTTTTTTAATTTTTTTTAAATTTTCGCTTGCAGTTATTATTCTAAATAATTAAAAAAAAAAAATTTCCACGATTCCATTGTTGACTGGACGATACCACTCCTAGGTTTTATCAAGACTCTTGACACACATTTACAAGGCTTTCAACGCTTTGTAATAATGGCAACAAGGTTAAAACCTTAAGCGCCATGACAAATTAACACAAAACCGTAGTTCTGTTATATCCCGAAATAATCCAAATTTGATTGTGTGTGCGTGTATGTTTGTGTGTGTGTTAGTGTTATGCAATCTTAAGCAATGCTACGGCTTTAGTGTTTTGTATTCATTATAATTTTAATAAGGGTAATATCCAATACCGGCGCACACACTTAATTTACATGTATGTGGCTTGCAGGAAAAGACAACAAAAGGTTGACAAGGCTGACCTCATCTACCAACTGCTCCGCCATCTCCCCTAGACAGACCTGGGAACAACCAGAACCCACTGGTTACATGTACAAGGGTTTGTGGCATCCATATTTCTGCCGTCGCCCAGAAAGTTTCACCAAAAGCTGCCTTCGGAACGTTCATGTAAGTTGAATATATATCAGTGCTAAAACATCTGATAAACCACGATAAGAAAAGTGCATTTTAGGAACAGTTGACGGGGGTGATAACAAGTCAACTATGACATCTTGAGCCCGAGAAAGACAAGAACTTTCTGGTGTACAAAGGTTGAAAAAAAAAAGGGGGGGGGGGAAGTGAGATTTGGGGGAGATTCGGCACGGTTATGCACGCTCACCCTCTGTCCAAAAACTCGTAGGAAATGAGCCCCAACCAGCCACCTCACACGCCTAATATTTGCAAAAGAATTAAGTTGTCCATCATGAACACGTTTAAACATTCAATTGTTAAGTAATTCTTTTTTTTTTCTTCATATTTTAAATTGGTTTTTCACCTGTTTGTTATTCTTCAGAATAAAGTATTAACAATAGTAAGTATTATTAATAATATGCCCTTAAGGAAGGCTTTAGGCCCGTTTCTTAGAAAATGACAAGGGGGTCAGAACCCTCCGACCCTGACAGCCACACTCTCCTTCCCCAATCCCAGCGATATATTTCCCTGTTATGGCGTACCTGGAACAGTTGTATAGCAGACGTGAAAGGCGAGACTTATTAGAAATACATACACTGGTTTTCTTGGTAATCTTATTTTCAGCTTCATAGCAACGGGTCACCCCATATTTGCCCCTCTCCTGTGCCAACGAAAAACACACAGAATGTTAATCAGTTTCTTGTAGAAAGATTGACAGACTGCTGTCTCAGCATATGCACTAGCATACATACGCATTAAAACCATACGGTAGCCATCTGAAGTGCTAACACAAACAATCCGATATTAGAAATGCAGTTCATCATGACTGTTAGCAGAAGTCACTAACAGATCAGCAGTTGCCCTCACGATCAATTTTAATAACAAAATGGCACCACTAATATTGTGACAACAGGCATCGCGCCATTTTCTGAAACTACATTTCACACCACCACGTTAGGCACAGTCGAAAAACATTCCACATAAAATCCACAGCTAACAGTGTCATGCCATGCACTCAACTCAGAAGCTGGGCGACTATATCCTTTCAGTCTAGAAATGGAGCAAAAATGAAGCAGCCACCGTCTTAGAGAAGCACACAATTTGTCACGACTCAAAACAGTGACCGTGCCTAGCGTCTATTTTGACCGGAAGTTCATTCATTAATACATACAGTAAAACATACATTACAATCAACTGCGAAAGCCTATGCAGTGGCAGAGAAGAATTGAAACATGGGTAATGTTATTGACGCTGCACCTTTCACGAGACCAGAGACTGAAAAGACATTTTGGTAATGCTTTTAGTGTCACAGACCACTGTAACAGAAGAAAAAAAGTTGGAAATGCATACAGTGCTATCAAAGGTGGAAACCGTTTCAAGAACATAGACATTTAAATTGTAACCCCTTCCCCCTCCCCCCTCCCTCCTCCTCCCCCAAATGGATTGTCAATACAACTGATTTGCATTAACTAGATGTACTGAGAATACCGGAATTTATGTTGAGACATGGACGCCTCAGCGGTCGGGTAAGCACACCAACATACAAGGTATAACATTATTTATCATTAATATTTATTATTGTTACAATTATCAGCACCAACATATGCCTGCTTTTTTGTTTGATCTTGGATCTCTTAAGAGCACATCAGGTTGTGCACATATATTAGTTAAACGTTACATTTGCTTTCTGTAATTTTTGATCTACAGATACTTTTTCTGGGAGATTCTAACGGCAGACAACTTTATGAAGATATATCACCACGAAGTTCGTGTCAAGAACAAATCAAAAAGGGATATAAAGCTTGGCATAAACCACTGAAGTGCATCAGCAAGGACCTCAACTTTACTTTAGAATGGATACCACATTCAAATCCTTTCAGGGCAACAGATGTAGGTATTTCAAACAACTGGATTAGTTTTGGGTTGGTTGGTTTGTTGCTTCACGTGAATGAAATACAAACACTTTAGGTTTGTTGCTGAACCAGCTCTATAATATTTCTTCTTTTTTAATGCTATTTAGTTTTACTAGTAAAAAGTTGGTTCGGCTCTATGAGTGCTTGTGCCTATGGGATGAAAGGGGCACACTTGGGTCGTAGTCCCTTGATCAGGAAAACCCTTCTTCATGCAAGGCCTTTGTGTTAGACTCAAGAGGCACAAAACATATCAGAACTAGAGGAATAGCCTCAATTAAAAAAAACCTAAATCTACGATGGACCTAAGTGCCTTTTGGCTGAATGGCTGTGGGATAGGCAGTCGTGAACGTGGACGTCTGTTCAGCAGGAGGGGCGGCGCCAGTGTGTGGACTCTATCAGGACAGCCACTGCCTCTTTCCAAGCAGGCAGCCTCTACTAGGGTGACCGGCTGCTACCTACACTATAATAACTTTATCATCTGGATTTTTTTATTTTATAAGAATTGTTGCAGGGGCTACAGAGCACGTGCTCTACGATTGACGTAATCTTCAGGGACCAGCGAATAGCAAGCCAAAAGGAGAAAATGAAGAAATGGTGAAAGAAGAAAACAGAGAAACAGAAGGACAGAAGCCGGGAGATTTAGGCGTCGGTGAAAAACAGAACGGCTCGAGTTCATTCATATAAGAGTGTGCTTTTAGAATTATCGTAGTGCCACACAGAGAGGACCCATACTAGAGAGGTTGATATATGATTTTGATGTAATCATGCTTTAGGAGCTGAATGCAGAAAATTTTATTGCCCAGGATATGTCAGCTATGTAAACTCTCTGGACTCTTTATTTTCGTCATTTTCTCAGGCATTTGTTGTCAAATTCCTGTAACTACCAATCCATGTCTATAGTGGTTCGTTCCCCAACATTTACAGGATTATGTTTAGACTAAAATAACATAAGAATTGAAAAAAATAACTTCTGATACATTTATATACATTACTTATCGATTATTATTGTTTGTAGAGACCGCCCCCTCCATCCCACCCACATAAAACACAAATATGAAAATGTGAAAGGGATATTTGACAAGAAAGAGCAAGATAGTGTACAACGCAGAATGGCCCCCATCAGTTATATTGATGAAGAATACCCACAAGAACAATGGGTCAGAATCAAAACAGATTGGTCCGCACAAAGTGCACTTAGAAATGGTGGTGCTGGAGTGTACATAGAATTCCCAGATGGTACTAGGGATAAGTCCAGCATACCAACCAGAATGTACTGCCATTACTATGATGCAGAAACTCAAGCTATCAAGATAGCAACAGATAAACTGCTAAATACCAATCTTAGCTCACAGTATGTGGTAATGCTAACAATGCTAAATCCGTCTTTGAAGCACTCCAGTCTAGGAAACTACCAGAATTGCAAACACTGCTGACACAACTGAGCCTTTAGCGAAGAGTCCTAATGCAGTGGATACCGTCTCATTTTGGAGTGCCTGGAAATAAGAAAACTGATCAACTGGCAGGGGAAGACCAGAACAAGTCATTATCCTCCGCTTCAGAACAGGGCACAACAGATTACGTAACCACATGTAGACAAAATTCAAAAAAGGTGTATCAGCCATGTGCACTTGTTGAAAGGTGCCCCAGACAGCAGAGCATGTACTCCATGACTCAACCGAATTTGACACATTGAGGCAAACCTTTTGGCCAGAAAAAACAACAGTGAAACGTTTACTCTATGCACCACTGAATGAACTAACAACGACAGTGAAATTTATACAAGATACAAAACTGCTGATATGGACAACTCATTTCAGGCGAACGAAAGAGAAGAAGAAGAAGAAGAAGAGGGTTTATGCTCTAGAAAGACTTGACATGAGCTTGTTGAGGGTGTATGCCCTTGGATGACTTGACATGAGCTGGTTGAGGGTTAATGACCTAGGATGACTTGACATGAGCTGGTTGAGGGTTTATGATCTAGGATGACTGGACATGAGCTGGTTAAGGGTTTATGCTCTAGGATGATTTGACATGAACTGGTTGAAGGTTTATGCTCTAGGATGACTTGACATGGGCTGGTTGAGGGCTTATGATCTAAGATGACTTGACATGGGCTGGTTAAGGGTTTATGAACTAGGATAATTTGGCATGCGCTGGTTAGGGGTTTATGCACTAGGATGACTTGACATGGGCTGGTTGATGGTTTATGCTCTAGGATAATTTGGCATGAACCGGTTAGGGGTTTATGCACTAGGATGACTTGACTTGGGCTGGTTAATGGTTTATGCTATAGGATAATTTGGCATGAACCGGTTAGGGGTTTATGCACTAGGATGACTTGACTTGGGCTGGTTGAAGCTTTATGCTCTAGGATGACTTGACATGGGCTGGCTGAAGCTTTATGCTCTAGGATGACTTGACATGGGCTGGTTGAAGCTTTATGCTCTAGGATGACTTGACATGGGCTGGTTGAAGCTTTATGCTCTAGGATGACTTGACATGGGCTGGTTGAAGCTTTATGTTCTAGGATGACTTGACATGGGCTGGTTGAAGCTTTATGCTCTAGGATGACTTGCCATGAGCTGGTTGAGGGTTTATGCTCTAGGATGACCTAAGATGAGCTGGTTGAGGGTTTATGCTCTAGGATGACTTGAGATGAGCTAGTTGAGGGTTTATGCTCTCAGATGACTTGACATAGGCTGGTTGAGGGTTTATGCTCTCGGATGACTTGACATGGGCTGGTTGAGGGTTTATGCTCTAGTATTTAAAAAAGGGCAAAAGAAGAGGAAAACACTGAATGGCCAACATGCATAGGCGATTTTGAAGCTTCAAAGCTTGCGATCCCCATCAACATACATAATGTCTTATGCAGACCTTCTACGTATCCATGACAATAGAAAAAAATGTCTTACTGTCTTCCTCTATCTCTGTTTATTAAATATTTTCCAGTTTTCATCATACTTTCATAGCAAAGTTAAAAAAAAAAAGAAGATGTTTGCAGTAAGTTGTCGCTGTAGCTTTTCCTCTTTCCAAACAAACATTAGGATGACCCATTTTGGCTTTCTAAAGAATTCTCAGCACTAGTGTTTAAAACCGCACATGAAAGACCTGAGATCAATTGTAGCTTCCTTAC